ACTAGGGGTCAATTTTGAAGCAGCATCATCTCAAATATATGCAGGTGCTATTCAATACTCCAACTATCATTCGCACTTTCATTCATTATCAACTTTCCGTGTCTGAAATTACCTTACACATTGGAATGTGGTGTGAAGAACAAGCTTAGAGAGACGGTCTAATAGAAATTCAGTGAGATTGACAAATCAAAATAAAATCCTGATACTAAATTGTTAGAAAGGTTATCAGCTTAATGTTGGAGGTTAAGAAAGCATCACCAACCAGAAGCTTTTCCTAAATCGTATGAAATAACGTGGGAATAGTCAGGGAAGCTGCCCTCAGACATGGGAGCAGTGGCTCAATGGTGAAGAGTATTTCTTGGCCCTGAACAGAGGTAACCAGCGGCCTCAGCGAATAATGACGTCCTCTTTTTTATACTTAACCGTCACAAAAGCCTTAAGATCTGAGTTCCGGTTAGTACCGTGGTTAGTACCAGATGCTGTTCTCGGTATCACCTGTTGGTCTGCGTTGCCATGTACATTTCTACATCTCCAAATTGTGCCAACCTACGGATTGTTAAAATATTAACTATTATGAAATGACTTAGTTCTTCTGTATGTTGTTTCGTTGAAATCTTGGTAAAGCAGTTGAAACTAGATCATATTCACCGAAATACCGAAAACGTCCTCATTTTTTCACGTTTTTTTTCTCAAAATAATTCAGCTACTTCTATTTCTTTAATTAAATCTATGTCGTAATATATGTAGCTTTATGCTCCATACCAATCATATACATATATCATGCGAACACTTAGTTAATCGGTCACACGAGGGAGGTAGATTTGACTTGCCTATGATTAGGTACGCACATCACTTACTCCTCTTTTCGTGTATCGGGTTTTGCGCGTACAACAGGGACAGATCACCGCCATTGCCATATCACCGGATATGCAATGAGTAACTAAAAACTCGTCGGATTTTAGTTAAACAATAATTCAAAGTATCAGGTGAAGAAGCTTCAAGTTCAGTGATAAGCCGAAAAATATTCACAACCCTATGAACAAGAATGGGAAATAGAGTTTCCAGGATGATCATCGTACAAGTTGTAATAATGAAGTTAATATTTTTTTAGGAAAATATGCACTCATAGAATCAGTGTTGTGTGTTCAGGGCAATACAAAAATATACTTTTTTCTTAGACGGCGCTGCGTGACGCAAAGACGCTCGATATAGGAAAACTGATATCTACTGATTTCGTTTTTTTCTATTCGCCAACACTCAGGTCAAATATTAACATGGAATACCCTTTCTCCGACTTGTTCGCAGGTAGAAGAACCCAAAAAATGCACCTGCGCTTCCATGTTTCGGCGCCGCCACTGCAGTGCGTGTATCTATTCGCCCTCTATCGCGGTGCGTCCGTCTCTGTTTATCCATCCTAGACTTGACTAGGACAACTTTTTGGGAGTCTAATTGGTGTCTGTAGCTTTGGTGGGTATCATAGCGCTGATCGGCGATGCTTGCTTCGCTCCGCTGCGCTGTGGCCGCGGTTGTTACAGTTACAGCAAAAATAATGGATATTGTAAGCGGAGCATCCGGTGCCGACGACGATACGTTTTGTATATCTGGTTGCATCATTGATCACACTAAGAATTTAATAAAAATGTTTTATACTCTATATGATGTCGCATTTACATATTGGGCCAATATAGGCCAACATCGTCGTGTGATGTTGGCTCAAATGTGTGAATTTTTTATATTAAAGCAGCCACGTATGCAGAAATCTAAATACCGGAAACTGCGACGGCTATAAGGAGCCTTCTTAGTGCCTTTGCAGAATTAGGATAAACCTCCTCGGGCAGAATGTTCCGCAATCTCGACACCCTAGGAACAAAGGAGTGGTCGTACTGGCCAGCTCTCGAAGTTTCGAAGTTCAACAGAGTTGAAAGACCTGGAGGGTTTGTCTGGCAGGCTCAACGCTCGGCAGTATCTTGGAAAATAGCTGTGAGGAGGAACGTTCGTTGGCATAGCAGTAGAAGAGAGCAAGATTACCGACCGCTCCGTTAGAGAAGTGTCATAGAGCAGTCGAACAGCCCTCCTAAGTCATAGGGGTGTCTATGAAATATGTAAACCGATATATCGCAAGCTAGAGTAAGAAGCAAAAGCCCGATAAGTTTAGCTGGCAGGTTCAGAAAGCGCCGTGGTCACATATTGTTCAGTTGAAAAAACTTATGGTATAGCTATGGATCACTCACAAAATAATACAAACCGCATTCATGAAAAAAATCGATATGGTAACATATGACGCAGTAACATATCAGCAATATAAAGGCAGACGGAAGTGTCATAAATGTCATGAGTTTCAACATAGTAAACACTATCGCACGCAAAAACGTATCATAATTAATTCAAAATTTCTGCAATCATGGTATTTTCCCATGTTTATGTGTGCTTGAGCAGTGAAATGATTCATCACTTACGTTATAATTAAATAATTTTGCAGTAAAGGTTTTGAATTTTAAATCATCAAACTTATTTATAGCAGGCAAAACTTCAATTATCATTTACCTGGGGTTATCAGTTGTAAAAAATCTGTTTTTGGGTGTAAAAATTTAGCAATACTAGCGTATTGTCTGTCTAGAGTAACGATTACCATACAATGAGCATACTCGAATAAATATGAGAAATCTAGACGAAATATACATTTTACATAAGGGCAGAGGTCAAACGAATTGCGTTTCTGTGACATGATCTATAGTTATGTCGGAAACCCTTCCTGTTATTTTTTTATTGTTAATTAGGCAAAAAGTCGATGGGTTAGTTACCTTATTATATCTATTGTTAAGTGTTGTTCATATTTTCGTACAGGGTAGTTTAGAAATGGTGCCAATAAAACCGTTGCATCAAAATAATGTAAGCAACGGGCCTTTTGTGACCAAGGAACGTTTTTGAAAACACCAATGCCCTGAACATCAGTTTTTGATATATATTTGTATGGGTTTTTTCTGCCTTTGCTTAGATACTTTGTTAGTTTTGTCAAGTTTGAAATGTAACGCACCCAAACACCAAAATAATCCAGTCGGAGTGTAGAGAAATAAACATTAACGCATCGTATCAAATAAACATTGTATAATATGTTTCCACTTGTAGCTTGTTGCACCGGTAACGAGTTAAATATATGTTCACACTTCAGACATGAAGAATCTTCAAGTAACTCATCAGTTGTTATCAAAGCTTCTTACAGCTTGCTTATACTTGAAAAAGAGCAAATATTATGGATAGATCATTATTTATTTGCTCTGATCATCATTACCGTTTTTTTCTAGTAAAACGACATTGTTCTACTTTTTTGGCGATAAATTCAAGTCAATAAAAGAGAGATTACCAATTTTACTGAAATCATTATAGTGCAGTTCTTCAAAAATGCGTTTTAAATGAGTGGCAAATTTACTCAACTTATCATCAGACTAATTTTGTATTGACGTAAATAAACATTTTATCGCTAATTTACAGAAGTCACTAATCGTTTCAACAAAGGAAACGTTCTGAATGTGAGACTGATGGTTCGATACATCAGCGATTAACTGGACTGCGGTGTAAAGTTCGTTCCGAATTTACTGAGCCAGTTGATTATTTAAAGATTTGCTAACATTTAGGCTGCTTTTGATGTTTGAGATGGTACCAGCGGACTTTTATGGTTACTGCGAGAGAAATTCAGCAAGAACTTGTCACCACTATAGCTTGGCATGGCGGCTGATTCGCCGTGAGAAATGACTTGGTGGTAAAACTGGAACACGCAGGAGAAGAGAGGAATGCTCTAATAGAGAATAGGCAATTTAGTGTGATTTATTGGGGCTGGATTTTGATGTACTCATAGTCTTCTTATTAGTCTGAAACGTTTTCGATACGGAACGCTGCATTTACATTATCAAACTGCGATTGTTCTACCTATCTTAGCAAGGCACTGAGAAGGATATTACTATTGTTAATAATCGCCAAACCATTCCATTGATGTCCACTATTATTTTGGGCAAGCGTAGGCGGCAACTCACCGTGAATGACTTGCATTTGCTGGTGATGGGTATGAAGAATAGACGCAATTCCATGCAAAAAATAAAACGGTTCTGTAAATTAATTTTAGATGGGTTGATGGGCTTGGTACTGGGGTGAAGTCCATTATAATGGAAAAAATGCCTAAATGGGGAAGGGTAGTGAACCAGCGAATTTCACGGAAATATATTTTTTTAAAAAGGTAAGATCTGGATGACTAGCAAAACCTAGTATACATTTTTTTGGTGAAAGTGATATAACAGTAATATGTGAAATATGTATTTAGGTCGCACTTTTAACGGCATTGAATAATGTTACTTTGCACTTCCCAGACAACGCTGTCAACCTAAGTAAGGATTTTGTTGTCACATGGTCTGCTATTGAGGAGATATGAGACGTTAAAGAGACCGAGCGGTTTTTGTATTTTCGTTTATTGATTTTTGTTTGCAGTCACTATTTGGAAATCTTTTTTGTTAACATTTGCTTCAAAATTGTTTTCCACATGATAGATAGCTGATTCATGAATTTTTGCGCCCATTAGTATAGCAAGGAGAACTAGGTATACGTTGACAAAAATATTCAGATTACGCATTAATTCTAATGTGGGCTTAAAACATAAATGCTGATACTTACCCGGCCGAATAACTTAATACTCGGCGAAAGCGGGAACTCAGGAAAATACGCCAAGTACTGAGTACAAACCGAGAACTCGTGCTGACCAGTTCTTACATTTAAACATCGAAAAAGAAATATTCTATAGTGTTGTCTTTTAATGATTTTTAAAGGTATGTTTGTTTTAAAGAAAATATAATTGGGTTTGAAATTGCCTATTGTTCTTCGCCTTTGACTGCAAATTTTCAACTAAAAGAGATATAGGAGCAAGGAAATTGCTATAGCAGCCTTTTTGGACATAGAGCATTTAACAATGCCTTACCAGAATCCCTCTATGAATCAATCGCCTCCAGGGGTGTGAATCATCTAATCTGCGGCTGGATCAGAAGCATGTTGACATGCAGAATCATATCGACATCCTCGGGGGAGACACTCAGATTTAGAGCTGCCAGGGGGTGCCCACAGGAAGGCGTGTTATCTCCCCTTTTGTGGTCGCTCCTGGTAGATAATCTTATTGCCATTATTCGCCTATGGGAGGCCGAGGTTCAAGCATATACAGTCAATCTAGTCGTCCCAGTCAGATGGAAATCTGGGGAACATATCTCGGGAACACTCCAGGAGGTTTTAACCGCAATAGCGGATTGGTGCGAAGGGGAAGGAATGTCAATCAACCCGCAAAAAAATGGTCATGGTGCCTTCACCAGGAAGAGAAAACTGGATGGGATTAAACCTCCAACAATCGAAAGTGAAAATGTACTGTCTTCAAAAGAGGCAAATAATCTTAGATATAATACTAAACTGGAATTCACATCTGGAAGCAGTCTTTAAGAAGGCAAGGATTTCACTATGGAACTGCCGAAGTCTGAGGAAAGAACTGGGGAATGAAGCCTAAACAAAAGTCTTTTCTTTGTACCATAGTCATTAGTCCTATGATAACCTATGGATCTGTAGCTTGGCGGGGCAAGGCAGCACAAAGAACTGTCCAAGCCAAAGTGAGCGCAATACAGAGAGAATCTTGCATGTTGATCAGTGGCACCTTTCATACTACACCAACTGCAGCTATGGAGGTCCTTCTTAATTTTACCCTCCTTGCACATATACCTAGAAGGAGAGGCAAGAAGGACATCTTATAGACTACATCATGCGGAAAATGGTATAATGGACAATATCACTATGGAGGAGACGGACATGATGGTGAACTTACAAGACCACCCCAGTCTGGGAATGCCTTCTGATGTAATGCCAAAGATAACAAGATATGCTAAACCCTACTCAGTGACAATGCCACACAGGAATGAGTGGGAACAGCAAGTTAACCTGATAAGGAAATATGGCTGGCATACACAGATGGCTCCAAGATATGTGTTGGAGCTGGTATCTTCGTGCCGAAGCTAAAGATTAAAAAATTTCTTAGCCTAGGAACCTGAGTATTGGTCTTCCAGGCAGTATACGAGCATGCTATAGAGCTGGGTACCAGAATGATCGTAGAACGACAACTAACACAGAACTATAGTTATTTTTTCAGATAGTCAAGCCGCACTTAAAGCACTCGTCATCGAAATTAGTGTGGAATTGCAAAGAAGCTTTCGGTGGCATAGGGAGGGAACTGAAGTCCGTCTCATATGGATACCAGGACACATAGGTCTAGAGGGAAACGAGACAGTTGACACTCTGGCAAAGAGTGGGGCCCTTCATAGGGTCTGAGCCAGCGATTGGGATCGCATACAATACGGCTAAGCAAATAATCTCTGCAGAGATGGACAGAAAGGTCCATCAATACTGAAAGGGATTAGCAGGGTTAACCCATGCTGAGGCAACTATACCAATTTTTACAAAGAAGGCAACAGACTCTTTGCTACAGCTGAACAGGAATAGCCTTAAAGCTCTAGTAGGACTGTCTACTGCTCATTGCAAATTGCATCACCAGATGACCAGGCTGGGCATGGCGGAAGACGCTGAGTGCAGACTGTGCATGGAGAGATATGGAACGGTCAGGCATGTATTGTGCAGATGCCCTACAATTGCCAGAATCAGGTACAACATACTTGGAGACGAGGTACTCCAAGCAGAAGACCTGAAGGATATTTCTTCAAACAAGTTAATCGACTTCCTCAGGAGGTCGGAGCTACTGGGGAAAACATAAATAGGTGTGAGCCACAATAGACCAAAGAGTCGCAGTGGAGGATCGTTATTGATGCACTCACAAGAAACCTAACCTAACCTAACCTATATAGAGTTGGAGACGCACTACATTTTTACATGTACAGAAAACAGTGGTTGATATGCAAAGAGTAACGCCAAAGAGGCAAAAAACATCATACTTGGTGTCTTAGAGCAAACTGTATGAGAAATTTGTATAGTTGCAGGTTGAGAAAATATTGCTCATACCATTTTACCTCCCATGCCATCTGGCTAAGACGTATTTATAGCGAAACATTTCGAAAATGTCATTCGTTTCTGTCTGTTGGTCTGTCCCTCGCTCTATAACGTGGAAATTTTGGTACAAGGTTACTACGATGCAAAGGTCGAAAAAGCGTCGTAGTCTTTGAAAATCGATTAAGTGGCGCGGGAAGCACGGGCAAAAACAAAAAAAAAACGTAAAACTTCTTTTTTTTAACTCCTGCTCGCTATTGAAATTTGTTTGAGGAGAGAAATTGGGATGGAGACAGAGGGAGTGTGGGAGATTATATCTTATTATTTTTTGGCACTTGTATATTAATCCACTTCAAGCTCCGGTTATTCTGAACACTTAAGAGACATATTGCACACGTAGATTTTTCGAGACGTTTGTCCTTCAAAAGGCAGGGATATATTTTCAGTACCCGTGAAGGAAGCTGGGTTTGGGTAGCCCGATGTGTTAAGGTGTAGACCGCTAGCGCATCGGCCTGAAGGCTTGCGGATTTGAATATTATGACCCCAGGCATGGGCGCCTGCGGGGATTCCGACATCGACAAGAATACACTTTTTGTATATTATGATTAAGTATCTGCCTTCAAAAATTCTTGGGAAGCTGGGAGGGGGTGCTAATCTTGAATATGGTACACATATATGTACAAAATATGTGATTTTTAGGAGGCAGCCAGATCCTTAGAGGGCTCATGGCCTCAAAAGTAACAATTAAAGTCACTGGTGTGTATGTATACGCACTACATCTGTGCAAGATCAAATGGGTACAACGTATCCTCGCATCGTTCGGTAGATCCGTAGATAAGTATAGTATAGTGTTGGTACAAAGGGGTCGGTAAAAAGAGTCAAAGCTGGCAGAAGGAGCAAGCTCATGATCTTTTTGTCGTCAAAATCTCATAGTCTGCGAAATCAAGTGCGTGGGTTCCATACAATCCTATTGTTCCAGACAATTATTGAAAATGGTGGAGGTTTCTATAGATTGCAAAAACCAGTTTAAACTGAATAAGAGCAACTTTTTTTGTCGATAAATGTTATCGGAGTTGCGAAACAGCAGGCATCCCAGCATTGGGCTCTTACCTGGACAGTTGTGAGGAAGCTTTAATTGATTCCGTCTCACTTCTTGTTTCATTGAGCACTGAGTCCCAATCTGAGGATTGTTAACATAACTGTGTACTTAACAACAACATTGAAAAATGCAAATATTGGAGACATATCGAATTTTTTGATTGATACTGAAAGGAGACAGCCGAAATTTTAACTTGACTAAACTAAACTTAAATTCAACTTCATCTTCTTCAATGTTGGAGATAAAAGTTTTTAGAAAAGGTAATTTTACGTTTACTACGTTAACTAGTACCGGATACTATGGAGGAAGATCAGTACGCCCCAAAAAAAACTACGAATATGAAATTAAAATACTTTTAAATCTTTTTGTTGGATTAACAAAGTGTTAATGATATAATAGCAAGGATTTCCATGTTATGCTGAACTAGGTGTTTCCTCTTAGCCAAGAATCTGCTCGGATCACGCCAAGTATTTAGAAAAATCGAGAAGAATCCATGCAAGAAGGTGATTGTTGCCGCTTGATGGAGAGAATGTTTCGTATTATTCACGAATTAAGCAGAGTAGTTAATATGTTGTGCCGTTAATAAGTGTCACCTTTCGTTCCTTTGCCCCCTGCTTACCCTGTTTATTGACAATACTGAGCGAGTTACATCGGAACACCGATAGTACGTCTACGTTATCCTACGTGAGTAGACTACGAATAGCTACTTGAATATCTTAAGCCTTTATGAACTGATGACAGCGTTGCGTGGTAAGGACCGAGTCAGCCTACTTGACGCCACATTTTTGTACCGAAAGAAGAGTGTGTTGTGTGTCTACAAATTGATTTATATTTTTGAAAAGTATCATCTGAAGGCAGCTTCATCTATTTTTTTCGCAAGGTCAATTCATTCCAGATACCACCCACCAGCGAACGCAAGTCATTGCCCTTGGTCCGAAATAGGAAATTGGCTATTGTTCTTCGCCTACGTTTTCGACTTCTATATGCATTAAAACTAATAGATAGATGTGGATAGGGGTGTGGGGTGCTTTTGAGGTTGAGGGGACGCATCAACACGCAACTGGCGACGATTCGCGTGAGCGATAATTCGGCCGCGGGAGCGATAAAAACTAGAGGGGCGCATTGCAGAACCATGCATATTTACCCCAAAAAACATCAGGGATTTGGGGTAACCATGCTGGTCGTATACCGGGTCGTCAGAATTTACTCTGGCAACCGTACGTGATACAAAGATTGCCTAATATAGTCTATCGCATGAAACACAAGGTGAATTGAAATTCGTGGTTTTCATGATATTGATGTTTCCTCATGTTATTATTTCACTTCATAAGGTGTTCAAAAAGTATGAATAGATCAAAATGTCTCGAAAAATACGTTTTCTAGAGAAAACTGTTATTGAAGAAAATTGGAAAGTTTGAAAAGATTCTTTCATTGGTGATCTTGAAACTGGCATTGACGTTGAAGGTCACGACAGGTTTCTTAAATGAATACTAATTTTGACATTAAAATGTAAAGAGCGGGAAGTTTTACGTCAAAGTATATCCTTGCCCATGACCTTGACCATGATCTCCATGGGTATTTGAGTGTGTCCAGAGACTAGAGAAAGCACAAAACATCTCTAAAGATATTGCTGTTCCATAAAGAAAAACATTATGTGATAACGTTGTGACTTTTAAAACGATTCATCTAATGGTGACCTTGAACGTAACCATGACTATGATCTTCAAGCTCATTTGAAGAAAAAGACAGTTTTATTCAATGGAAACCCATATTTTTGTCACCGATAATGAAGGAGTACATGAAACTCTATGTCCAAGTAAGTACGTGTTCGTGAGTTTTTAACGGAAAACATCTATTTTCAATTTCTGAAATGAAAATTGCGGACAATATTGAGTTCAAGTAGGTATATTTTTGACAATGACCAAGGACTTCAAGGCCATTTTAAAATCAGATATATTTTCAGCTAAACTCCGTACTGTTTGTCCGGGATATAAAAAAGATAAACCCTGAAACTAATTCATTGTTG